ACCCACCCACTTATTTATCTATCTCCAACTAGTTTGCTTTTAATTAAAAAAGTAAGAACTTGGATTAACAAGTAATTTTTCTTCCAAGGTCAAACCCATTATGGTCAGTTCCCCATCCCAGACACAAACATTGTTTCTAGTTTCTTGTTCATCCTTTAGAAATTTTTACTTATATAGTCATGCTTGGCCCATTGTTCTGTGCCTTGTGTTTGTCGCTCAACAATACTTTGGGTATTCATTTCATAGGGCATCCACAGATCTATCCCATTCTTGTTATTGGCCATGATGTGACCTAATCGGTCCCTTGTTGGTGGCCTTTTAGGTTGTTTTCAATCTTTGCTATTATAAACAATGCAGCAGAGAGCGTATTTGTATGTATATCTCTGTGGACAAATAAGTTAATGAGAAATTCTAGAAATTAGGCCAGGGGTTCTTTACACCTAGGGTCCCTGAATGGGCACCGAAAGGCTTATGAACTTCTTGAAATTTTATGCAAAGTGTTGTGTAATTTTTGGAAGGCAAAGGTCTACAACTATCATCACACTCCAGATGGCTCCACGACCTCAGTGTTGTTCTAGATCTTGGGCTTCTGTGTCTCAGTCTCCTCTATTCAGCTGCCCGATTGGGCTTTCTTCCTTTTTTTTTATTTTCTCACAAGCACCCTGTTTAGACTATGGAGAAGGTAGTAAAAAGTCAATCAATCTATTCTCTTACTTCTTGTTAACTGCCCTTATTCAGTATTTGGTCTGTTCTGGAGAAGGAAGTTGAAACTCTTCAAGAGTGTACTGTTTTGATTATTGGTGAGTTTCATTCATCCATACACATGTACACCATGAGTCCGAATCGACTCAACGGCAACTGTTTGGTTTGGTTTTTAGCATGGCAGATGGAGAATTGTCTATACTTTTGTGTATCTATGGAAGGAACAGGAGTAAGCATCATTTTCAGTAGAGAAAGAGGTGGATCTAGGTTAGGAGATTATACAGTTGTGAGGTGGCACCGCTGTTTTTCTGTAAACCATTTCAAAGGTTGTTGGGGGGAAAAGTGAATGGGTACTTAAAGTCAGGAAAGCATGAAGTGTAAGAAACACTGGTTAGAAACGGATCTTTTTTTCATGTCCCATTCTTTTATTGTAGGAAAATTCACTTGTCAATAATAATTCTATCTAGAGAGTATGGCAGATCTGACACACTTGTTGAAGTCATGTATTGTAACACGAAACTCATACAGACTTGGCATGAAGTGAATTATAGACCGTGATAAACTACCATCACTGCCCACTAACGACACGGTGTTTTTGTTTTTTGGGTTTTTTTTTTTTTTTTGGTTGTTGTTGTTTTAACTCCAAAATCTTAAAATTCCTTATTGGTTCTGCTGCTGATTTGCTGGGTGGCATTCGCCTGTGGAACTAGAACTGGTCTTGGGAGAGAGTATTTGCCTTTTCTAACTCAGGATTCTCAAGTGCTCAACCCCTAGATCAGCATCTACAGGGTTTGTCCCACTCAGAACCAGGATGGAGTTCAGATGTTCCTTGATGCCTGTTTCCTACCTCAAGGCATCCTCTGTTCTCCTCTAGGCATCTTTTAATCTTGTGCTTGGAATAGTCCCTTCCTCCTGTTTTCCCTGTCAAGCATCTTCCCTTAGGTGTCACTGGGAAAAGGTTTGATAACCTGATGGACATAGAGGTCTTGTCAATGGACTTCATGTTTTCCTACCACTCAGAGATAGCTGCCAGGTCTGGTGCAGCTCCCAACTCTTAGATTTCCTTGGCACTGAAATTCCTTGGAATAGCCTAAAGCTAGGGAGTCCCTGGGTGATGGAAATGGTTAACACGCTCAGCTGCTGAAGGTTGGAGGTTTGAGTCCACCCAAAGTTGCCTCAAAAGAAAGGTCTCGCAATCTACTTCTGAAAAATCAGCCATTGAAAGCCGTATAGAGTACAGTTCTACTCTGACACACATGGGGTCACCATGAGCTGGCATTGACTTGACAGAAGCTGGTATAATCACTTCAAGGCTCCTGTGATAATCACTTTCTCCTTTTTCCATAGCTTCTGATTTTCCATGTCTTCCCTGATGTTCCTTTTGTCACCAGTATTTCCAGTCAAATCTAGTAAAC